ATATTTTCTGTTGCTCTTTATTAGCAAGTGAAATAAGTCTTAAGCTTTTACAATGACGTTGATTATCATAGATTTGTGTATGCTTCTTATTGAGCAGTGGAATATGTGACATTTACAGTGGGGAATGGTGAAATGGGCTTCTCACCTCTTTTAAAGAACTTGTGATTGTTGGTTAGTGATGAGTCAGTGTCGGTTGATTGTGTGAAAATAGTTCCTGATGTTGAACTATGAACGGGGGCTGCGATTCCCCACCACCTCTTTGATCTGTCTAAGGGTTGTAGTGGAAGATCTTATCGTAATTGTATTTGAGCATCATTATGATCGCCTATATTTTGCATGCTCTGTCGCCTTAAGTTTCACTGTGTTATAGTGCGTTTGTTTTGGTTCTTGAGAATGGTTGCTACTTGCTACTTTTATTCTTGCCGATGGGTCTACATTCATGATTCATCTGTGTGTTAATAATGTGTGATTATGGGTAGAGAAGGATGGTTATTTTTTTTTGTAATGGAAAAGTATACAAGTAAAAAAAGAAAATGTAGGATCTGTAATCATGTCTGTATTTCATCTTTGGTTCGGCACAAGTAATGGAAAGATGATTTAGCTTCTTCAAAGAATTTCTTGTATCTTAATGAGCCATACAAAGGAAACATAAGACAAAACTATTGAGATGAAGATCTTATTAATGAATAGCAAAGTACTAACAATAGTTACGTCTTAGTTAAAACTAAGTTGGGATAGGACATATGTTTAAAACTAAGTTGGGATAGGATATATGTTTGACTTATTGTTCATGTCGCTCCATTTAAATCTGTTCTAATCTAAAAATACAAAAACTTAAATCTTGTGTACCCTATGTGGGTTTATTAGAATTTAGTAGCTTTTGCATAAATCTTGCATGTATGTTCAGTTTCAGATTGACAATTCAATTCAGTCGAACACTAGAAGGATGAATCCAACTCAGAATATGAAGTACTAAAAGATTACTATTCTCCTGTTACCGTGATTGTTTGCACATATATTTTGATTGAATTAGTGAGATAATAGAAATAGTACTCCACTTGTTTTTCACACGAACAAATCAAGACCCTTAAACTTCAAATTCTTAATCTTTGTCTCCGACTCCTATCTCAGTCTATAAAGTAAACGTTTTAATACTTGGATGATGTAAATGTGACGATATAAAAAAGAAGAATCACAACTAAATTAACTATAAAACACATGAGTTTTCAAGAAGTCATACAAGTTGGCTTTTGTTTTTGCCAATTTAACAAGGAAAGGATAATCTATATATGGAATTGTAAAAATAATGGACCAGTCAATTGTGGTGCCCTTCTTTTCTTTTTTACATCCTCTTTTTCTGCTAAATTTGTCTCGTTGACATTCTTCAATATCAGTTTCATCAAGTTTAATTAATCAACATTTTTCATAATGCAATTTGCATATTAATTTATTATTTGAATAACTGGAAACAATCATTTGATCTAAACAGATCATCAACCTTGAACCATTCAAAGTTCTAATTACTTGTTAAAATGTCCAAATGATTAGCATTGATGATTCAACAGTGCTCTACTTGATTGTATTATAATAGTCCCATTTTTGTGGTGGTGTTTGACTGGTCACAAATTTAACGAACAAAAAAAGAATTTGTGATCTGAAATAAGCAATATATATTTTAGGTTATAGATTTTCTATTAGTTATGTTTGCTTATCGGGTTTTGGATAAACTACTCAACAATGGGGACGGTGATGTGTATGCAGTTTACTCCTATTTTGAGAAGGAAGACTGACTATTTCTGATAGACCGTTGGCTCAAGTAAAATATATAAGTTTATAAAACAAATACAATAATGTAGAAGTCAAACTGAAAACAATGAAGAAGAGAACCGTTGCAACAAAAAAAATAGTGATGATCGAATCCAAGGAGATGAGAAAATCAAAGAAAAAGATAGTAATAAAAGCAATATTAACAATGAAACTAGACAAAAGTCGATTAACTACTAACCTCACCCTAATTAACTAAGGATTGAGAAAATAAGAAAGTACTAAAAAAATATGATATACTATTTGACATGAAGGAAGTAATAAGAATTTAGTTGTCTTTACCGATTAAATATAACTAAAAAACTTAATGTTTTTTAAATGGGAAATCATTTACTAGTATTTTTGTTTCAAATTATCCTTAATTTTCTTTTTAGTGTATTAATCAAGTAAAATATTTAAGAAGAAATTACTGATAATTCAGATATTAATGATTTAAAGTTATGAAATATATTTTGTAAAAGCTGTGTACAAAAATTTAAAAGACGAATGGATAATAATATATATGGACCTGAAATATTATATTATTGGTCGTTAGACGTGATTTTCTACCAGAAATACCTCTATTCCACGTGTCTACGTACTGTTTGTCCCTTTTGACCATTTATTATCACAAACCATATGGTAGGTATTTTTTTTAATCTAAAAAAAAAAAAAAACAAGAACCATAAAATTATATGGTGCATATTCAAAAGAGTGGACTCTATGGCCAACTATGTTTTGCATGTAAAAATAGTTGTGGTGGAATAGATACGAGTCTTCGATCTATCAGAATTAATTAAAGATCTTAGTTTGAAAATTGAGTATGGAATTAAATTTTGATAGAGTCTAATTCCTTATTTGTATGATATATGTCGTGTAAATTTGAATTAATTAAATCATATTAATATGAATATCAGATTCAGATGAAAAACGAAAATAAAATTATGTTAGCTTGACGGTGGAGACAACAATCACATGGGTAGTTTCATGAATTTTCAATATTGGAACTCATCAAAAACATTTTTTTTTCATTCTTTTATTTTCTTGCAGGATAGAATTTTTCAATTTGATAAAGTCTCAAGACCAAAAATAAAGACATGTTTCTACTTTTTCTCCAAACACGCCGTTAATTAAGGCATAATTTGGTGTAAATTAAATGAGGAAAGACTTATTGATTAACCAACCTTATGACCAAAGAATCAAATAAATTCACAATTTTTTTAATTAAATGGAAATGCTTTCACATTTGTGGTTGAAAAGTTAATAATTATAAGTCACTTGAAATAAATAAGTAATAATAGGTGAAGACCTTATTTCATCATTTATATCTATTTCTTTTAACCATGTTTCACCGATTCAATTCAATATTTATTTTTCAGAAGTTTAGTTAAATATACTATGATTAACAACACCTAATCTTCAATCAAGAACTCATGCATTATATTTTTCACGTACGATTACTAAATATTATATTCTATAACAGTAAAATCACAAATCCATCTGCCTCAAATATATAATATTTCAAAGGTGTACTATGTCCATGAATACTCACCGTCCAAGATGGTAGATTAGCAAAAAATATAATCAAGATGAATCATAGTATAATTCTTTTAACTTAATAAAATTATACCTAATCTGACATCTAAAAAGGGTATTTAGCAACCTAGACTTGTAATATAAGAGAATAAATGCATAATTAATATTGTTGTTATTATGTAATTGGACCACATAGACAAATATAGAATAGTATAGTAACTAATTAAAGAAGGGCCTAAAAACATAAACATGTGCAATACACATGAGTATGATGGGACATATGCACGTAATGTCAAAGCAAAGCCATGTGAGGTTGCAAAATTTATATAAATTGACAGAAAATATATTTATATTTTATTATATTATCCTAACTGAAACATTGAATAAAATCACTTTCTCAGTTCAATTTATTTGCCTTTAATTTCATTATCACTCGTATTTGTTTGCTTTGATTATCACATTATTTTGTTATCGTTACTTTTCTTTCTTATGAATATTGTGTACTACTTCAGTTTATGTGTTTCCTTTTTCAAGCAGCTTTAAAATACTTTATTTAAGTTTGGGTATGTCGAAACAACCTCTCTATTTTTATGAAGTAAAAATAAGATCTACGCTTATTCTATCTTTCTCAGACCGTCACTTATAGAATTACACCGAATATGTTATTGGTGTTATTGTTGATGTTGTCTTAATTTGTTTGGCTTGATTTAGAATCAAACTAACTAATGATCGGTGTGTGAATTTGAATATAGAATTTCTAATTATTATTATTTAAAATAAAATTTATATATTTAAAAATTACATAAAAATACTACAAGTCTTTATAATTAATAACTCTATTTTAAAAAAAATTATGATTCAAAAGAAATATTTTAACCATTCAAATAGTAACTAAGAATTTAAGACAAATAAATTAAAATAGAGTCACAAAGGGTGTAATATTATTTGTTGCACAAACAAACAAGAATTCACATTGGAAAAAAATAAGATAAAATTGAGACAAAATTTTGAGATGTGATTTTGATCTACAACTGATTCAGTGGCAAAACCCATGTGGCTAGGAGAATAAGTTTGATATATTAGAACATGGCTCATAATTGAATAAGATCATGACATTTTTCTCATTTTTATACACTAAAATTACTATTTAAGAATTATTTGTTTTTTGTTTTCCATTCACCGACATATCCAAATTCACTTTTTCCCCATAATGTTAAAAATTTAACTCAAATATACACACTGTTTTAATCTACTTACTCGTGAATCTTTATAAAATTATCGAATTTATAATTAAATCATTGAGTGTAGTTTTACATTCGTAACATTGTTTTATATACCTTAAGATTAAATATGATCATCGTATAGTTAATCCTTACAGGGTCAGACTCAACAATGTGATTTACGAATTCAACCGAACTAATAGCTTAGATTCAAATTATATATTTGTTGCTCTAATAAGTAAAAATTATTACTATAATTTAAATTTCATAAACTAAAAATTTCGATTTCAACCTTTAATGAGTTGCAATTTCTTTTTAAAAAATAAATGTGGTGTCCTTTTTTTCTTCACAAACAAGTTGCAATGTTCACATGTGAGGTTGTTTGCATTAAATAGCCAAACTTTCCCTATAAAAGTATCAGCTACTTTACTTGGCTTAACCATTATTTCTACAACACATACCATTTCTTTTTCCTCAAATTTTCTTCTATTTTTCTTAAGAAAATGGCCAAAATTGGCATTTTAACATTAGGTTTCATATTTGTTTTTTGTAACATTTTGGTTAGTACTGCAAATGCCTTCTCTGCTTCTGGATGGATGAGTGCTCATGCTACTTTTTATGGAGGATCTGATGCTTCTGGCACAATGGGTTAGTTTTGCAAAATTTTGTATATGAAGAATTACACTTGGTTTGCTCTTTTATACAACACTCTTTTCTTTTTAATCTGTTATAGAAATAACTATATAATTTTATCTCTAATCATGACATACTACTCTTATAGCTATAGAAATGTCGTGTGTCATATTTAAGACCATAATTTTTAGGTATACTTTTGATATATCATGAAATTCTTTATATTGTTTTAAATTTCACGTTCCTTCAAATATTTTGTGAAGTCAAAATTTGAAACTTGTGAATTTGTAGTTTTGGTCTTTTTGAGTCACTAGATTCTAAATTGATAGTAGTATATATAAATTTCTTGAGTCACATATAAAGTATTAGTCAAATTAGTGAATTCTGTCAAACTCGCTTCTTACCCTTTAGCTCTGTCTATCCCTCCGTCACATGAGAGAGTAGTGAAAAAGATATGGATCTTTTTTAAAAGCCCAAATTTTATTTTTACAAAAATTTTGTGCTCAATCAAATACCGTTCTACGAAATAAGACAGTAGGATAGTAATAATGATATGAATTTTGATTATTAACAAATGATTGTTTGGAACAGGGGGTGCTTGTGGCTATGGGAACTTGTACTCAACAGGTTATGGTACAAACACTGCTGCATTAAGTACTGCATTGTTCAATGATGGGGCATCATGTGGTCAATGTTACAAAATTATGTGTGATTATAATCAAGATTCTAGATGGTGCATAAAGGGAGCATCTATAACAATTACAGCCACTAATTTTTGTCCACCAAATTTTGCACTTCCTAGCAATAATGGTGGATGGTGCAATCCACCAAGGCCACATTTTGACATGGCTCAACCTGCTTGGGAACACATTGGTATTTACAGAGGTGGCATTGTTCCTGTCATGTACCAAAGGTACCCTTTTCTTACTGTTCTGTCAGTTTTAATTTGTTTGTCTGGTTTTAATTTGACATGAAGTTTAAGAACGTAAAAAAGATTTCTGAATGTAGTGGGCTTAAGTTAAAGATATATAGAACAGATTACAATGTTTTTAAATATTGTGGTCAGTCTTAAACATGTCATATAAAATTCAGAATTAAAGAATTGTCAAAAAAGAAAAAGTGACATTTGTTTTGAAATGGAAAAGTAATAAACAAATCGAAATGAAAAGAATATGATTTAAGGTTGTCTGGTTTATCCCAAAAAAATATGATTTGTCGAATTTGTTTAAGCTTGAACGAATTGATATATCCATGGGTCCCAAGTTGGATGGGCTAGATTATAAATGTAACATTTGCATAAATAACCACTTTCTGCGGCTATTTAAAATTTGTCCCTAAATAGCCTAGTGGGCGATATTTTGTCTACAAAAAGGAGAACTCGTCCAACTACTTTTAAAGACAATTTATTTCACTTAACTAACACAGAGTGAATTTAAAGAGTAGCCTCAAAGTAGGCTATAAAATTAAAGAGGTATAAATACTTTCATTATTTAGCCCAACTTGGCCTGTTTATCTTGATTCAAAAAAATTCTAGATGGATTATGCCTCAACCATTTTAACACGTTCAAATTCAACTCAAACCACATATTTTGACACAATATTTACTTATAATAATAATATATCCAGTTAAATTAGGCTAATAGTGTAAGAGTTCTATACACTATTCATATACTATATACATTTCAATAGACAATATATACTATCAAATCTCTTTATAATATCATTTGTCCTGATATGTTGACCACTATCATATAATATAACATAGCATGAAATACCAATTTCAGTGAAAACATGTTGCTATAAACGATAACTGTTATAGAGAAGTCTGACTGTAACGTAATATTTGTGTGTTTGCAGGATTCCTTGTGTGAAAAAAGGTGGAGTTAGATTTACAATAAATGGAAGGAACTATTTTGAGCTATTAATGATAAGCAATGTAGGAGGGGCTGGATCAATTCAATCAGTACAAATTAAAGGTTCAAGAACCAATTGGATGGCAATGGCTAGAAATTGGGGGGCCAATTGGCAATCAAATGCATTTCTTAATGGACAATCTTTGTCATTTAAGGTCACAACATCAGATGGTGTCACTAAAACATTCTTAAATGTTGCTTCATCCAATTGGCAATTTGGGCAAACATATTCAAGCTCTATTAACTTTTAATTTTTTTTAAAAAAAAGTCGAAAAGTTCGGGATTTGAAGTTTATGAGTTTATATATATACGTGTGATAGGCAGCGGCGTGCTTACTGTTTTACTGAAAGCAGCCCGCCCCCTTCCTCTGTCTTCTTTTATTCGATATTCGAAATATACTGGCTCGATTATTGATGAAGTAAGTTCATGAACTCTAGTCCGAAGGTGCTGGAAACATAAATATATTTGAAATTTATTGTGTGTATGTAGTGTAGTGTGAAATTTGAAATTTTTATTTTTTATATATCAAAAGAATTAAATAATTAAGACACTTTGTCTTTGATGCAAATGTTTGTAGGTGTATCAAACATATATACTAAGCTTGTATTGTAATAAGGTCATGTTATACATATATTTTATCAAATGTTCCTATGTTTTGCTTCAAAATTACTCTCTTCGTCTCTAACTATTTGTTATGAATTCTAAAATTGTCTCAACTTACTTGTCCTTGTAGAAATTCAAGATGATTTTTTTTTCATTTTACCTTTAGTATATAGTAATTGTTTTGAAGACTATTGATAATACTTCAATTATGGAGTAATGTCACATTAATAGAGTAAAATATTTAATAAAGAGATTATTCTTAAAACATAAATAAATGTTAAAAAAAAACAAAATCCTTCTTAATTAATAAATACTTTTTTGTAAGAAACATGTAAAAAAAAAAGAAATACATCAGATAATTAAAGATGAAAAGAGTAATTTCTAAATTAGTTAGATTAATAAATTTCTAACACAATATAATTATTACAGAAAACCCCATCCACAAATGAGTAATAATAGCATTCCACTTTAAAGTAAAGTGAGCTATTATATAATTAGATGTCATTTTGCTTGTTTCTGTTCAACTCTATATCCAATTATTAACATTGAGACAATTACATTTCTGTTCAAAGTACATATGAGATTTTGGACCTTTTCTTGTTTTGGTTCAACCCAATATTATATCCCCAATAAAAAACATTAGCCTTCCTCTTTAAAGTAAATTTGTCATTTTGCTTATCCACTTTGCATCAACCACTCAAAACCTAAAATCAATATATTTTGACCCAATTGTGCTAATTCATTTCCTTGGACTTAAACAACATCAATATTAGTTATTAGACCAGTAAGTATAATTGAGTTGGTGTAGCATATGATATTTTATAAGAGTTTAGGGATTGATGCTTTTTGTCAACGCCTTTTTAGTCGAGTTGGTCACACCAAGCTTATCTAGTGCGGTTTATGTCTCCTCTGTAGTTTGGAAAATATTGTACAAAAATGAGTTTCCCTAATGTGTACCTGAAGTGTAGCAATTGCATGTAAGCTTCTCCGAGAGCTTCCAAATATATATAGCAATAAATCTAGTGTAATCGCACAAAAGAAGTAACAATAATTCAATATTTTAACTTAAAGAAGAGACTGATTTATTTAACTTTTATAAGAAAGAAATAAGAAGGTAATGGGTGTTTAGTAGTAACAAAAGACTTTGTATCGAATAATTAAGAGTTGAGACTATATATAATGGTAAAAAATTTATTAGCACCATTATTACATTAAATGAATAGATGCATAATATATGTTTGCTAAGATATTATTACTATCACTTAATTATATTTTATATATAGTTTTACCCTATCAAATTATTTTAGCATAAGATAATAATACGATTTGTCGTAAATGTGCAAGTGAATATGTAATTTTTCGATAGAGACTATACATAATGATAAAAACTTATTCGCACGGTGATTACATCAAACTTTTTTTTTCTTTTCACTTCACTAGCTTGTTTTTCATGTACGTATTTTACATAAACCAAATTTGTATATTTTTTAAAAAAGATTGCCGACTTGCGGCAAGCCAACTCTTTAATGAATAATAATTGAGAGAAGTAGTTAGTTAAATTAAGTGGATATTTATTTATTTATTCAGTATATATTAATTAAAAGAGTTATATCACTTTATACCATAAACATGTATACTTCCCTACTCTACATAAGAGAGTTGTTAAATTTTCTATTACAATTAAGTGTAATGTGGTCTACATATTACTTGCACATATATATTTTGGTGACAAAATTTTGAAAAGTTGGTGCATTATTTAGTTAGTTTGGAAATTGAGGCAGCTAAGTTTTTAATGAAAACTTGAAAAAAAAATTAAAGCTTGATGCATCAGTTTGCCTAGTGCAATTTATATATTTTTTGTTTGGTTTGTGAGATATTACATTTCAATAGAGTTTATTCGGACCAGATCTAAATAATAACGATTGTAGATCACCTTCTTACCCAAAGAAATTGTGTTAATATTATGAGTCTGTTTGGATAGACTTAAAAAAAGTAGTTAAAAAATAAAAAAGTAGAGGGAGTCCTATTTTTTATTTAAAACTTATTTTAAGTTATTTTAACCTTGCCAAAACACTCCAAAAATCTAAAAATTACTTTAAAATAGGTTTGACCAATTTTTAAGTCAATCCAAACAGGCTCTATATCATACTACTTTAATTTTACGTAAATTATCTCATTGAAGTCTTAAATATTTGTCACAATTTTTTTTTAATCTTGAATCGATTAGCGTATGAGCCACTTATTCACTTGACTAACTCCCCATTTTTTGCAAACAAAAATAAAATGGATGATTAATTATTAGAACCGTTTTTAATAATTATGAAAAGTTGGAAATTTTGAAAAGTGGTTGCATTATTTTTAGTTGTTTAGAAATTGAGACAGCTTATCTTTCAAATGAAAACTAATTGGAATTTTTTTAAGCTCGTCACATAAGTTTGTCTAATACGATTTATATTTTTTTTGTGTGGTTGGCAAGTTATTACATTCGAACAGGTTCACCCAAAGTGCACCTGAAGAATACCGACCGTGGGTAAAAAATAATTTGTGTTGTCATTGGATTTTAGTTTTCGTACCAAATTAAAGTCATAAAAATTACCACAATATTCACTTGACTAACTCCCAGTTTTTTGCAAACAAAATTTTAATGGATGATTATCGTTTTTTACTTAGCAAATGAACATGGCACTTGTTTAATTGGCTAACTCCCATATGAAAATCGAGAAACTATTATTGTTTAAGACAAAAAAAAAAAACTCAAAATTCAAATTGATTAATAAATTAAATCTCTTTCTCTCTAATTAAGTTTCCAAAACAAAATTAAAATGGGTAATTATTTCCCTAAATATCGGAACTGAGATTTGTTTTTCCTGGCTCAAGAAAATGAACATGTCTAATATATATATATAATTAAATAAAAATGTGTTAATCTTGATTCCCATGTGGGTATTAAGCAACCATTGGTTTTCCCCTTTGTGTCTTAGTTGCCAATAAAATTAAAATTAGTGATTATTAGAACTTGGATCTTTTTTTTTTTGCTCAAGACAAGAACTGAGTTATTTTATTTTTTAAAATAATGTGTTAAATAACAACTCCAATTTTAATTGTTACCAAACTTTGCTAACAAACATATGATTAGATTCCAATAACAACTTTTCATATATTTTTTAATTTTTTCCTCTTATGTTTTCCCTTTAAATACTCATAGCATAGTTCCTTAACTCTCACACTCAATTAACCACAATCAATATACTATTAGCTTTCAATTTCTGATAATTTTGATGGCATTACAAAGATTTCTTGTTGTTTTTGTAATTATTTTTGTGTTATTTTCATGTGTAAATGCACTTAGCTCCAATTACTATGATCAAACATGTCCAGATGCAGAATCAACTATTAGACAAGTTGTTAAAAAAGCAATGTCAAATGATAAAACAGTTCCAGCTGCTCTTTTAAGGATGCACTTCCATGATTGTTTCGTCAGGGTACGTAAAATTTATTTCTACTCCTATATATAAACAAATTTTTTAAATATTGTACTTTATTAACTTATGTAGTTTAACCTATAATAGTATATAATATTAGTTATCATTTTATTTTGTTATATATTAATGAGATACGATATAATGTCAGCTAATTAATCACTAGCTTTTGCTAGAATAATATCGTAAAATCAAAGAGGAAGAAGAATTTCATCATAGAGGGAACAATGTGTTAACTTAAAGGGCTAAATAACTCCCTTAAAGGGAACAATGTTTACCTCTTAGATGACTAATATAATGTTAATTTATTTACATGTAAATCAATTAAGATGAGCTAAGATTGAGCGATATAATCAGATTCATATAGCCGGTTATATATAATTATTGTATAAATATCTTTTACACTATCAGAACGTGAAAATATGTACTTTCATTTAAGATGATTATTTTATGTTGTAATATTAGGACATAGTATATACTATATGGTAATTAATTGTTAACTAACTTATGGTATTTTTTGCCTTAAATTTTTATGAAGGGTTGTGATGGGTCTGTGCTGTTGAATTCAACAAAAAACAACCAAGCAGAGAAAGATGGACCTCCAAATATTTCATTACATTCTTTTTATGTTATTGATGTTGCTAAGAAACAAATTGAAAATATGTGTCCTGACGTTGTCTCCTGTGCTGATATTTTGGCTCTTGCAGCTAGAGATGTTGTCACTCTTGTGAGTTCTTTTACAACTTTTTAAATTTTCGGCGTGTGAAATTTACTGACTCGACTAATTTAAATTTGTGTCATAGAAAACTATATTTAAAACAAAATGAAGAAGAATACAATGCTACAATAATACCACGTAACTATTAGGGATCATTTGATAGTGTGTATGATAATAAAACCAAATAAGGTGTTTAATAATGTTGGAATTAGTTGTGTTGACATCATCATTTGTCGATCGTTTGATTAGTTGTATTAATTGAATAGGGTGTACTAGAATAGAAATAGTAATCCCACCCCACCCCACCATCGTATTAATAATGTCATGGTTTACTATGTTAAGAATAATACTTAATATAGTGTATAACTAATGCAACTATATATAAGTTGAAAACACTGTCAAACAAGAGCTAATACATTATTGTTTAATTTCTCTAACACCTTCCGCCAAACGA